CTCAATTTATATGTTAAATGTCTATAATTTACATACTAAATGTTCACAATTTGAATTATGAACATTCAGTATATAAATTGTGAACATTTAGATTATAAATTTGTAAACATTCAGTTTGTTAATTGTGAACATTTAGTATATAAAATTGTGAACATTCAGTATGTAAATTATGCACATTCAATATATAAATTGCGTATTTTTAGAACCGATTCCACATTGCAAGGTGGACCCGGATCGACAGAATAATTTGCCTTCTTTGGTTGGTTGAGCCTTAATGAAGGCACTAGCTCTAAGCAATAGGCAAATTATTGTGTGTACCATAGTCCACATAGTGCTGTGGATCATACTAAAAAGAATATTTTTTAATATACTAAAAATATATTATTTGTGTAATGAATGTACATTATACAAAATAATGTATTTTCAGTACACAAATAATGTACTTTTCCTGAAGACAGTGTACATTTTAAATATATTAAAAGTACAATATTTCTGTACTGAATGTACATTATTAGATAATATGGTCCACACAGCTTTGTGGACCATGGTCCACACAATAACAGTTGTATGTGATATATTATATTCCAACAATAATAAAAATTTACACTAGTTTGTGTAAACTATAATAGATGTCACAAATTTTTATGTTAGTTATCAATAAATTAATGAGTAAGTCTTATATAAGATGTGTAATATTTTTTAGTTAAAATGTAATACATTTTTATGCATTCATAAAAAATACTATATCCTAATTAAAAAGTATTATACGTCACAGAGGTAAAATCGCCTCACACAAGACTTATTAGGAAAAATAAAAGGCTTTCTCATTCAGCGCAATTGTCGCAAAGTACGGCTGCGTTAGCGCATGAGTTTTCTTTTTTGGATGTTAAATACTATTGGATGGGTTACTTTTTATTGGCATTGAAAACTAAATTAATTCATCTCACCATGAATTAACAATTTGGTTCAAAGAGAGTTAAGGATGTATCCGGTATCAAATATCGCATGATTCGAAGAACCCTAGATGGCTAGCTGATATTGAAGTGAGACCAATTATTAACAAACATGAGGTATAAAGAAATAATAATAATAATAATAATAATAATAATAATAATAATAATAATAATAATAATAATATTAGACATAATTATGTGGCTCAAATTAAACATGGACCATTTATCTGATGTTGGCGTCATGCATGTACATATTCCTACACGTTCTTGCGCCTTTTGCTCTCATCCTCTGCATGCCGCTTAATTAGCTTCATTTGAGTGTATAAATAGGATTGTTTGCAGTTGTATTACACACCTCAATTTGAATTCATTGTATTTGCATTTTAATTCCCTCACGTAGCGCATATATATATATATTATATTCATTTTTAATATATATTTTATATTTTCTCATTTTATATTATATTCGTTTGTCATTTATATAACTTTATTCATTTATATATTTTCCCTATTATTTAACTTCCATAATTCTCAATTTTTGATTCTTTGCTTCCGCATTATTCCGCTATATTCATAACAAGTGGTATCAGAGCGGTTTAATTGAGAGTTATTTTCAAAGATGTCGACTGTCACTAAATTCGATATCGAGAAGTTCGACGGGAAAATTAGCTTTTCTATCTGAAAGGTTCAGATGGAAGCCGTTCTAACGCAGAACAGTTTGAAGAAAGCGCTAGCTGGGAAGAAGAAGAAACCGGCTACAATGACAGATGAAGATTGGGAAGATTTGGATGACAAGGCACGTTTAACCATTCTTTTGTGCCTGTCTAAAGAGGTTCTACGTGAGGTAGTAAGTGAGACGACTACGTCAGATTTATGGTCCAAGCTGGATACGCTTTACTTGGCCAAAACTCTGGCGAACACGCTACGCCTGAAGGAGCGTCTGTACACAATCCGTATGACGGAAGGTACTTCTATTAAATCTCACTTGGATGAATTCAATTCTATTTTATTGGACTTGGAAAATATTGATGTCATAATTGAAGATGAGGATCGCGCTGTTTTATTGCTTGTCTTTCTCCCTAAATCATACAAGCATTTCAAAGAAATTATGCTGTATGGTAATAGTAGTGATACCCTTACTTTCGACGATGTTAAGTCGAACCTATTGTCCAAAGAAAAGTTTGACTTTGAAATTAAGTCTGAGGACAAAGGTGAAGGCTTGTCCGTAAGGGGTCGTTCACTTGAATCAGGGAGTAGCAATAAAAATTCTACATCCACGTCAAAGGACGTAAGTCCAACAAATCCTGTAAGTACTGCAAGAAGCAGGGTCATGATGTGACTGAATGCTTGAAGCTGAAAAACAAGCAAGAGAGAGAAAAGAAGGTCCGCTGAAGCTAGTGTTGTTGAAAGTGATTCAGAAGACGATGTTATGTTATCTGTTAGCTCCGGTTGCAAACGGAGCGAAACCGAGTGGATTCTGGACTCTGGTTGTACATTTCACATGTGTCCTCACAAAGACTGGTTCGTCTCTCTGGAACCGGTTGATGGTGATGTTGTCTTGCTGGGTAATGATACCCAATGCAAGGTTAGTGGAATTGGAAGTGTTCAGATTAAAACTCATGATAACGTTGTCAAGACTCTTACCAATGTTCGGTATATTCCTGATTTGAAACACAATCTGATATCCTTGGGCACCTTTGAATCTTTGGGGTGCAAGTACACAGCTAAAGGTGGAGTTCTGAAGGTCATAAAAGGCTCTCTTATTCTCTTGAAAGCTTCTCGATCCGGAAGCTTGTACGTCTTGCATGACAGTACTGTGACAGGTTCAGTAGCGGTATCCTCATCGATGTCTGATTCAGATCTCACTCAATTATGACATATGCGTCTGGGGCATATGAGTGAGAAAGGCATGCATCTCCTGAGCAAGAAAGGCCTCATTGTTGGTTCAGGTACGGGTAAATTACAATTTTGTGAGCATTGTGTTTTTGGGAAACAAAAGAGGGTTAGTTTCTCTACTGCTACACACTGTACCAAAGATGTATTGGAATATATACATTCAGATTTATGGGGACCAACTAAATTCCAGTCTATGGGAGGCTGTAGATATTTTATGTCTATTATTGATGACTTTTCTCGTAAAGTCTGGGTCTATTTCCTGAAACACTAAAATCAGGCATTTTCTATTTTCAAGAAGTGGAAAATACTCGTTGAGACTCAGACAGGTAAAAAAGTCAAGAAGCTCAGGACAGACAATGGCTTGGAGTTTTGTGAGTCAGATTTCAATGACTTTTGTGCGGCACAAGACCTTGCCTGGTAAACCCCAGCAGAATGGTGTTGCCGAACGTTTGAACAAGACTCTATTGGAAAGAGCTCGTTGTATGCTCTCTAATGCTGGGTTATGGAAACGACGTGATTTTTGGGCTGAGGCCGTTTCTACTGCTTGCTATTTGGTAAATAGATGTTCACATTCATCCCTTGATTTCAAAATTCCAGAGGAAGTTTGGTCAGGTAATCCTGTTGACTACTCTATCTTAAGAGTTTTTGGATGTCCTGCATATGCTCATTCCAGTACGGGTAAATTAAACCCTCGAGCTGTCAAATGCATTTTCCATGGTTATGCTTCTGAGTCAAAAGGGTATCGTCTATGGTCTCCTGATTCTCAGAAAATCATTCTGAGTCGAGATATCACTTTTGACGAAAATGCACTACTTTCTTCTGGAAAAGTTCCCAGTACAGGTGAGACGCAGAGTACTGGTGAGAAGGTGGAGTTTGAGTTCATGCTTATTGATAGTGTTACTACAGTTGATGGTAATACTAAAGATGATGCATCTACTAGCGTCGCACCTCTCGTCGAGCCACAACGAGAGTATTTCACTCGCATAGGAAGTTGATGGTGATCCACCCTGCTATTCTAAAGCTTTTCCTATTACTAAGTTCAAGCAGTGCTTGAGTTTAGTCGACTATTCAAGTTGTTAATTCTCATAATGGATTTGATCCAAGGTGGAGATTGTTAAGAAATAAATGTGGCTCAAATTCAAGCTGCTCAAATTCATTTAGACCATGCTGTCGCGTCCTTCTCCCACGTAGCATGTTCTCCCATGAAGCATGTATTATTGCCACAACATGCTCCATTACATGCATAATTATCTCATTTGCATAGTATAAATAGAGTAGCCTTTTACTTTGTAAAATGCATCATTCATAAATTGTAATTCATTCTGTAAGCATCTCATTTGCTTTCTTTTTCATCACGTAGAATACATACATACATATATATATATATATATATATATATATATATATATTTCTATATTTTTCAATTCATCAATTTTCTTATTTTGTCATTTTATATTTTTCCCTATTATTTAACTTCTATAATTCTCAATTTTCGATTTTTCGCTTCCGCATTATTCCGCTATATTCCTAACAAATAATAATAATAATAATAATAATAATAATAATAATAATAATAATAACAATAACAATTGTTGGGCGGAGGCCGATAAAGGGTCAAGTTTAACAATTGGTGGTAAGGTGGATTGTTGAGCGAATACCAGTGAAGGGTCAAGTTCAACACCCTGCATTTCAAAAATGTAGTAGCGATATAAGAAAATAAAGTTGTGTCTTCAAATATAACTTTTGACAACCACTGACCCCGACCTCCTACATTATATTTGCACAACGCCTCAATTGAGGCTCGATCTCACTACATATCATCAGAGCACATACAAGGTACTTAGCACAAACTAACACTAATAATAATAATTTCTCGTGCACAAACACACATATATTTCAAAAGATAAATACTTGCCACTCATTTATATATTATATAAATATACAACTTAGCAAGTCAAATTGAAGCCAGACCACTGCACGTAAATAACTCAAACATTGTGACTGGAGCGCCAACCAGATGAGTAACGCTGTGGCCAATTTTGTACAAAACTGAAAACTCTCGATCGTCGTATATGTAATTGTTTAAAACCTAGCTAGAAGACACTATATATATATATATATATATATATATATATATATATATATATATATATTAATACTCTTGTCTGTTATCTTTTTGTGCATGCTTTAGCGTTGATATGTATGTTGTGAGCGGTATAAGTACGGAGGCCGGTGTCGCCGCGGATTGCGGTGAGCTTGATGCCTTTGCGTTTCCTTGTAAAAGATGGGTGGGTGGTGCAGGTTGAACCTGAACCCCTTGGAAGATGAAGAACCTTAACCCAGCAATTATTTTGTAGGTTTGGAATTGCATGGAGATGTGAAGGCAGATCTATGAGGAACTCACCGTATTCGTCCGTCGTGTTCCGCGCCCATAACCGCCGCCATCTCCCTCCCCTTCTGCCGCCGCAATAAACACCCACGGAAGCACCTGCATATATATATATATATATAAATGGTTAATGATCAAATTCTCCCAATATGTTTAAATTTTATTAAAGGAAGAAAAATAAAAAATAAATACTCTTATGTAATTATTTATCTGAATCAATCCAATCATGGCATGTTAATATAGAGTAAAAAGTGATTATATATATAATTGTATTCTTTGATTTACGAAGAAATTTACCGCCGTTATAAGAAAGTGTATTCTAGATATAAAGCCTATTGGGTGGAGGTTAGTAAATCACTAAATGTCTAAATCTATCAATTAGTGGCTAGGAGAATGTTTGGTGGAGGCTAGTAAAGGATCAAGTCTAGCACCCTACCTCTAAAAAATGTTATGGCGATCTATAAGAAATAAAGTTGTGTTTTCGTTGCGAGCTGCACTATAGACTCTGATGCAGTAGTAAGCGCTTCATCCTAATAAGTAGTATGAACTAGGTTACGGGTTGGAGCTGCTTTTGGCATAATGGTCCATAAATAACCATAAGGAGGTAATAATAGATAAATGACCATAGAAAGATAAACTAATCTGAGTTGTTGTTAACATATATTCTACTTATGTAACCATTTATTTCTACCTTAGTTATGTATTTTTGGTTTATTATTATTATTATTCACATTGATTGTCTTTCCTTTTTCTTTATCTTTCAGTTTGTATATATATAAGAGTTCATTCTCTGTAATTGTATTCAAGAAATATATTTTATTCTTAATAAAATATATTTACAAACTGAAAGATAAAGAAAGAAAGACAATCAATGTGAATATATAATAATAAATAAAAAATACATAGCTAAATTAAAGATAGAGTATATGTTAACATAGGTAGAATATATGTTAACAATTGCTCACACCTATCCAACTCTAATTTAGAAGGAAAATAGATTGTTCCCAACAAAAAATCTTGTGATGACTAAATTAATAATTTGACCAATTCTAGTGGGTTTTCATAATATAATGATACTCCCTATTATAAACTAAACTGGATAAAGTTTTCTAGAAGATAGGAATATAATTGAAACACCATATAAGCAGAAAATGAAAAGAACTGGTAGGAAACTTTAACGGCGGCGACGCACCTGAGATTGGTTGTGGCGGAGGCTGGCGGAGACGATCGTGACGAGCCGCCGCCTTTTGAGCGTAGAGACAAGGATGACAGAGGACAGTACCATCAATCAGAACAGTGGAAAGCTTCTCCTCCCCATAGCCGGCCTCCTCTATGCTGGAAAAGTCAACCACGGGGTTCCCCATCGCTGCCGGAGAATCAAGAATCAAAAACAGCGTCAATACCAGCGATGCTGCCTTTATTGCCGTAGCACAAGTGGAGCTTCCGCCGTGAAATGAGGTCATCACCATCTTTGTGCTTTTTCATAAACCAAGCAAACTTTTTGGCAAACGCAATTAAGAAGGGAATGAATAAATGAGACGTAATACTTACCACCCTGTATTTGGTTTTGGTGCTTATCCTATTTATAGAGGGCGTGCATGGTTCACCTAACTTTGTCAACATTTGCTGTAATTACTATTATGCTCTCAGGCAATATGCTATATAATTCTCATTTTATCACAAATTTAATCATTTTCCTTTTAATAATACAACAACACAAAACACATTAACAAATATGTTGCATTAATTCTACATACAGTAAATTGCCCAACTACTATATAGTTTGATAGCACATCTTTATTATCATTCCAAATGGGTTGTCACTGGAGCACTGAATCTTTGGATTGAAAAAGAATGAGAAAATCTAAAACATAATTCAGCAATTTAATTTCTTTTAGAAATACAAAGTAACAATATATTAATTAATTAGAAGATAGAGGAGAGCAGAGGGGGCAATAAAGTCATTTGACTCATTAGGAAGTGTCCTACGTTTAGCAATTGACATCCTAATTAAGAAAGATGGACAACCCTAGAACTTCTGACCAATTAAGAAAAGGAAAGAAATGAAGATTTAGGAAGAGGTGTAAGGTCGAGGGATGGAAGAAGAGTAAGAAGTTGGAAATGGAAGGTTTAGTGTCAAGTAGGTAGCCTAATCTTAGCACCTTTTAATTTGCTGATCTGATATCTGAGCTTAAAGCCCCACCACCCATTAGCCGTCTCCGCTACCATTTTGGGTATTGTGGGCGGCAAACCAATTGAATTGTATTGACAGGTGCTTCCGGTCAAGCCTGCCTCACCTATCTTCATCTACATCAACAATTCCTTTCCGTACCCTAGTACTTTTGTATGACTTAGAAAATGATTTAACTTAACATTATGTGTTGTGATTAACTAATTATCAAATCACAAGATCAGATCTATAATTAAATAACAATACAAATTAATCATAACATATCATGTCTATTATGAGATATAAACAGCTTGTATATTTCATCAATAGGGAACAACTATATATATACACAATTACACCAGAAAGGTAGAAAATAGCTAGGCAAAGAGAAATTATAGGAACCACTATACAAGACTAGGAAACAATATTAGACTAAGTTCATAAATATAATATTTTTCCCTAATATGCCCCTTCAAGATGAAGTTCCGGAAGAGACGCCAATCTTGAACTTTAAGTCCAAAAAACGACCATGTGGCAGTTGTTTGGTTAAAACATCCGCAAGTTGATCTGCAGAAGAAACATGAGTAATACGAAGAGCACCAAATTGCACTTGGTCCCGAATAAAATGATAATCAATTGCCACATGTTCCATACGAGAATGAAAGACTGGATTAGAGCAAAGATATGTAGCGCCAACATTGTCACAATAGATTACAGGTGGAGTAGGCAGAGAGACACCAAGATCTGTAAGAAGGGAGCAAACCCAATTAACCTCTAAAGCAGTAGTAGCAACTGACCGATATTCTGCTTCAGTAGACGAGCGAGCAACTATTCGTTGTTTCTTGGACGACCAAGAGACAGGATGACGACCAAGGTAAACAATATAAGCACTCGTAGAGGTGTAGTCATCTTTGTTACCAGCCCAATCTGCATCAGAGTATGCATGTAAAGAAACAGCATTATCCTTATGAAGAAATATCCCATGGTTTAAGGTACCACATAGGTAGCAAAGCAATCGTTTTACAGCAGCCCAATGGTCAGTAGTTGGTCGATGCATAAACTGCGAAAGCTTGTTAACAGCATAAGCAATATCTGGGTGAGTGAGACACAAATATTGGAGACCATCTATGATAGTCTTGTATGTAGTGGCATCAGTTAGAGCAGTACCTGAAGTAAGGGTTAAGTTACCATTCGTATCAACTGGTGTGGATACTGGCTTGGTTGTAGACATTTTTGCCCGAGAAAGCAGGTCAAAAACATAGCGCTTTTGAGCAAGAAAAATACCAGATGGTGTAGTGGCAACCTCAACTCCAAGGAAGTAAGACAAAGTACAGAGATCTTTGAGTGAAAACTTGTGTGCCAGAATATCAATGAATTGTTGAACAACCGTGGAATTGGTTCCTGTGATAATAATATCGTCCACATAAACAAGGATATATATGACAAGGTCACTTGAGTGAAAAGTAAATAGAGAAGTGTCGGCATGTGAGTTTATGAATCCTGACTCAACAAGAAACGTGCGAAGTTCAAGATACCAAGCTCGGGGAGCTTGCTTGAGCCCATATATAGCCTTTCTGAGTTTGCAAACATAGGTTGGATTATTTGAATCAATGAATCCATGAGGTTGAGTCATGTAAACATCTTCATGAAGGTGACCTTGAAGGAAGGCATTATTGACATCCAACTGCCGTAACTTCCAGCATCTACTAACTGCTAGGCTTAAAATAAGCCTAATTGTCGTAGGCTTAACAACTGGTATCATGATAATCCACACCAGGTCGTTGATGAAATCCTTTAGCAACTAACCTAGCTTTATATTTATCAATCGAGCCATCTAGGAGGTGTTTAATGCGAAAAACCCACTTGCAACTGACAATATTTTGCAACAAGCTGCCATGTTCCGTTTCTGATTAAAGCTTCAAACTCATCATTCATAGCCTGTCTCCATTTAGGATCTTTCAATGCCTAAGAAACAGTAGTGGGCTCAATGTCAAGGGGTTTGGATAGGACATCAGTGAGGTTCATTTGGCAATGGGCTTGCGAATGTTATTTTTGGATCTAGTCACCATGGAATGAATATTTTGAGGGTTTTGTTTCTTTCTAGGTATTTTTGTCTTTATAAGTAATGTAGGAGGAGTATTGTGACTGGGCGACTCAGCGGAAGAACACTCATTCAACAAGGAGCTAGTGAGTGCTTGATGAAGATGTAGGAGAGTCTTGTTGTGAGGCAAGTTGTTGTCCAATTGATACGGATTGGGTGCCTGATGATGTCGTTAGGTCATTTTGTAAGACAGATTAGTGTTCGGGTAATGTAGCCGATGTATCTAATGAAGTGGACGGATTTTCAAGTAATGCGAAAGGATTACCTGTCGAGTCATTTTGTGAGGTAGTTAGGTTATTTGCTATATGATGAATTGTGCGAAAAATTAGTGATGGATGTTGACACGAGGGAACCCTTTGAGGAGGTTTTTTGAGTGAGCCATTTGAAATGGGTAGCACTTGAACCGGGGGAAACCATTTGGAGATAGCTTCTATGCTGGTTGATGAAGATGACTTTGTTGATTTCTAAAGGGAAAAATGTTTTCCACAAACTTAACATGACGAGAAATAAATGTTTTAGATGTAGACTACATATCAAAACAAATATATGCACTTTGTGTTAAAGAATATCCCAAAAAAACACATGGAATAGATCGCATGTCGAGCTTGTGTTGTGAGAAAGGACGTAGGCACGGATAACATAAGCATCCAAACACCCTAAGTTTGGAGTAATTGGGTGATGATTGGAAGAGTTTTTGAAATGGAGATGAAAGATATAATGTGGGTGTAGGCATACGGTTAATGAGGTACACTATTATAGCAAATGCATAAGTCCAATAGGATAAACATATTGATGCATGAGTGAGAAGGGACAAACCAGTTTCAACAATATGGCGGTGTCGCCGTTCAGAGAAACCATTGTGTTTTGGTATGTGAGGCGGCGTGGTAAGATGAGATATACCACTTGTTGAAAGAAAATTGTCAAGTGAACGGTATTCACCACCATTATCAGAATATAAAGTAACAATTTTGTGTTTAAATCAATTTTCAACTAGTGTTTTGAAACACACAAAGACATCATGCACATGAGATTTTCTTTTAAGTGGATAAAACCAAATGTATCGTGTATAATGGTCAACAAAAATAAAATAATATTTGTAACCGTCAATAGAATAAATAGGAAAAGTCCAAACATCAGAAAATTTTATTTCTAGAGGGTTTGATGATTTTAAGGTAGAAACTGATGAAGGGAGTTTATGACTTTTATTCTTGGAGCATGCATTACAATGTAAATGAGACAATAATGAACTGGACAACGGTAAGGAAAATTTAGAAACAATATTTCTCATAATAGGTAAGGATGGATGACCTAATCTGGAGTGCCACTTAGATGAGGTAGTTTTAGTAGTGGAAAAAGCAAGTAAAGGTGAAGATGAACTAGAGGATGGTGAAGTTGGCCACTCATATACACCATCCTTAGGCTTACCCGTCAATAGAGTTCCCCCCGTGTTTAGATCCTTCACCTGGAAAGTAGAGGGAGAAAATTCAACAGAAACATCATTATTGGTGCATAATTGATAAATTAAAATCAAATTCTTTTTCATGGAGGGAACACAAAGAACATTTTGTAGAGAAAATAAACGATAAGGAGTGAATATTGAAGTGGAACCAGTATGTGTTATAGAGAGGGATGTTCCATCTCCTATCATGATATCATCAGATCCTGGATACGGGCTATGAAGTGAGAGATTACTCAAATCATATGTAACATGGTGGGATGCCCCACTGTCCAAAAGCCACGTAGGAGTTGTGTCACGGCTAAGTGTTGTATGCTTTGCTCGTGGTTGCCAAGGTGTTGAAGGCTGATATCCCTGGGTCCCTTGAGGACGAGGTAACTGAGAATGCTGATTAGTAACAAGTTGATACATTGGACATCGCTTAGCCGTGTGTCCTTGGGTACTACATGCTTGGCAACGACCCAAATAAGGTTTGGATTGACGCTAGTCGTGAGGAGAAAAGGTAGTGGCCGAATTTTGTTGGGAGTAATTGTTGTTGGACGGACGCCGATTTGAACGGTTGGAATTATTGTTGTTTCGGAAGGCGATTGGATTCACTGTTGCTGGAAGTATCTGTGGACTAGATTCAACCGTTTAAAGAAACACTTCTTTGTTTAAGAGCTTTTCATGCAGCTCAACAAAGGAAATTGTAGTGTCACGGGCATTAATGGCATCACTACCGATTTGTACTCAGTACCAAGTCCATCAAGAACATGATCAATGAGATCTTCATCATCAATGGGTTTACCTAGCAAAGCAAGTTCATCACTTCGGGTT